CTCCAGTCTGGGTGACAGAGTGAGACGCCAACTCAAAAAAAAAAAAAAATCCATCTTGATGGAGTTTCCCATTTTCTATCCCAGGCGTGTCTTGACAGAAACCCAGAAGCTTTCCAACCAAAAATTGGCAAGGGAAAGCTGGGAGATGTGAAGCCTCGACACAACAAAGGTTGTAATTGCAAACGCTCCGGCTGCCTGAAGAATTACTGTGAGTGCTTTGAGGTTAGTAACCAAGTTCCCAGCATTAGTCAAAACAAAGCAAAGCAAATGAAAACCAGGTAAATATTTTGGCCTAGGTAACTTGTGTGGTTAAAAAATTGTAAAAAAGAAAAAATATTGTAATGTAACTTAAAAAGAGAAATATTGGCTGGGCATGGTGGCTCACCTCTATAATCCCAGTAGTTTGGGAGGCTGAGATGAGAGGATTGTCTGAGCCCATAGGTTCGAGACCAGCCTGGACTACTTGGCAAGACCTCATCTCTATAATAAATCAAAAAATTAGCTGCGTATGGTGGTGCATGCCTGTAGTTCTGGCTACCTGGAAGGCTGAGGCGGAAGGATCGCCGGAGCCCAGCAGGTCGAGGCTGCGGTGGCCGGGAGTGGCCACTGCACTCCAGTCTGGGCAACAGAGTGAGACTCCAACTCAAAAAAAAAAAAGAAATATCATCACTTCTCTTCCTCCCAGGTTTCTGAAAGGGCATTCGTAGTAATCTGAATTAATTTCTCTAGTGTCAGCTGAGCGTTATGAATTGAGTAAATGATGGAGGGTTCCTTTTGGGGCACGCTTTCTCCCCAAGCCTGTCCCTGAGCCCAGTGAGGGTACCCGCTGAGGGCTCTGCTCTCTGCAGCTACTCACCATGTGGGTAGCCCCCCAGTGTGGAGGTTCGCGGGATGGGCGTGGGCGTACCTCTTCCTCGTGGGCAGAGCCAGGATGCTCTCCACAGGGCCCTGGGGACCATCGGTGTTCGAGACTCAGTCTGCTCCAGGTCCCCATGGCGCCTGTCTCCAGATGTCCACTTGCCTGCTGCTGTGACAGGATAGCTCTTCTGGCCCACAGCCTGCCAGAGACCAGATCTGCCAGTTGCCTGAACCAATGGAGAGACACTGACAAAACGAGGTGGAGACTGGGTCTCGGACGGAAGCTTTTCCTTTTTCTCGAAGTCATAATGACAAAGGAGGGAGCCACTTTCCCCTTTAGTTTGTCCCTCTGGCACCCCAGTTTCTATCTCTGTTCTTTGTGTCAGAAGAAAGAAAGAAAAAGGGAGGGAACCCTCAGGCTCTATCAGTAAAGCAGTCAAGCAAACCTTCAGGAAAAGCCTCTCTTTGCTTGAAGCCTTTGGAGATACGTGGGATTTTACTTTTAGGGTGGCTCAAGCCTGTAATCCCAGCACTTTGGGAGGCCGCGGTGAGGGGATTACCTGAGCCCTGGGGTTCGAGATCAGCCCAGGCAACTTGGGGAGACCTCGTGTCAAAAAAAAAGGTGTCATGGACGGTCAGGCTTGAGAAAAGTCCTCATGATTCTGGAGACACCGGGTGAAAGATCCGACAAGCAGACCTGGAAATCCCCAGCCAGGATTTTGAAAATACAGTCAAAAACATCTCAGAGATGAGGACTTCAAAGTGAGTGGAGTCCCCCCCCGGGGAGCCACTTCCAAACGTGTCCACAGCGTCTCTTCTCTGCTCGGCAACGCGCCTTCACTCGCGGCCACGAGATGCAGTTCAAGGCCGAGCCCACGCCAGCACAACCCATGTGACATGCAGGCCAAGAGGAAGGAGGTGGCACTGTCCCTGTGGCCTCTAGTGTTAGCATAGACTAGAAGCCCTGAAAAGCTTCCTGCTTCAAACCCCCCGGAGGTACAGAAAACACAGCGGCCGCCCGCGGAGGTGCTCTGGGCTGGCAAGAACGGAGGGAGATCCCTGGAGGCTAGTGGAAGGGGGACACCGAGGACCGAGTGGCGGCCAGCGTCGGCTTTCGGACTGCCCCTGGAGCTGCCGAGCAAGGGTCTGGGCCAGCGGCTCGCTGCACAGACCGGAAGCGGAAGCCCCCCACGAGGAGGTGGGGTCTCCCTGAGCACGCCCAGCCCAGACCTGCTCGCTGCACAGTCTGTTGGAGAAGGAGAGCGCCTCCTAACACTCGCCGAGGCAGGCTTCATTCAGAATGAGAGGCCAAGGATGTGGCTGGCGGTTTCCCGTGGAAAAGGGAAGGTGGCGCCCCCTCTCTGCGTGGGACCCTCCCCTGCGCCCCTACTTTGGCTGTCCGCAGGACCACTGTGTCCCCATGAGAGCAGCGTGGGGGAGCGGACCTGGCTCTTCACATGGTGTCGTTGACACCTGTCGGGTCCTGCTTTTCTTAACATGAAAATTGCTCCCAGCTGGGTATGGTGGCTCACACCTGTCATCCCAGCACATGGGGAGGCCGAGTGAGGGGATTGCCTGAGCCCGCAGGTTCGAGACCCGCCCAGGCACCTTGGCGAGACCTCATCTGTACAATAAATCAAAAAATCAGCTGGGCACAGTGGCGTGTGCCTGTGGTTCCAACTACTTGGAAGGTTGAGGTGAAAGAATCCCCCCGAGCCCAACAGGTCGAGGCTGCGGTAGCTGGGAGTGGCCACTGCACTCCAGTCTGTGCGACAGTGAGACTCCAACTCAAAAACATAATAATAATAATAATTGCTCCCTCTCTCCTCCCCCTTCTCCCTCCCCCTT